AGACAGACAGACAGACAGACAGACAGACAGACAGACAGACAGACAGATAGATAGATAGATAGATAGATTGATTAGTGATGGTCTATAAGCCAATAAGCATTAAAATACTTCTCCATGCAAAGTGTTGTTCCTTAAGGATCATGAAACTGTAAAAACAGTTTAACATGATACTATACTAAGGTTCTGACTGCTGTACCCAAGCACGCACCATTCCAATCTCTTAATGCAAAACTTTATATCAGCCTTGGAAGCCATATTTTACTTGGAAGCTTCGAGGCTGCCACATCCAGTGCCTGGGAATTTGGGAGGGGGGATTTCATAGAGACAAGGAAGATTAGACTCAACAACATTCTTTTCTCAGAGAGTCAAGGACATGTTGCCCTGCACCTGGAGAGGAGTGTCTGGAGGAAGGTTTCCAGTTGGGATGATGATTTGATTGGGCCATGTGATGGACTGATGGGTGCAGGGGAGGGATCTTGGAATTTCTTTTGGGAAGGGAAAACGCAGAACTCTCAGATTCGGGTTTTCCCAGATGTGCCAATATGACAACTCTAATAAAATGGAACTTTGAGGAAATGCCTGTCTTGGAGTTTATTGAGTTGGAGTTGGTTAGTTGGAACACTGACATTAACCCGAATCTGAGAGTTTGGGGTGATGATTGAGCACATCAAATGATGTGCTCAAATGATTGAGCACATCATTTCAGCACAGATGAAAACACAACCAACTCTGGATAATTCCCAACGCAAACCAATATAATTAAAGAATAGATTGCCCATTCCCCTTGATTAGTGCAGGTCACACTGTCCAATTGATGGTCGGCGTATTGTTATGGGAAAATGTCTTTGGGTTTAGGCAAACATCTGTAGAAGTGTCCTTGGTTCCCACAGGCTGTCTTGGGTGATGTTGGGAGCCTGCATTCTAGGTCCCTTTTCCTTCCCACTGGCTTGTTGGTAAGCTGAGAAGCAGCAATGGTGGCAACAGTCTAAGTGTGCTTCAAACTTCACAGATTCATTATCTTCTGAGCCTTTTACATCCTAAGGGAAATATCTCTTTACCATTTGTGTGCAATCATTTTCAATGAAGGCACTGTAGCAGTAATCCTGTTTTTGTAATGCAGAATGCTTTTATATAGAGTAAAGGAAAACGCCAGACTACTAAAAAACAAACACTGCAAGGAATAGGCTAATTGGGGTTAATTGGCTATCTTTGATGTTGAGCATGTATTTTTTTTTTTTAAAAAAAATAAGTATTACAATTATTCTAAAAGTATTTGCATGATGAGGAATATTTTAAAACACAACTGCAATACAGGTAGTCCTCAACTTACGGCCACAATTGGGCCCAAAATTTATGTTGGAAAGTGAGATATTTGTTAAATGAGCTTTGCCCTGTTTTACGACCTTTCTTTGTCACTGTTGCTAAGTGAATCCATACAGTTGATAAGTTAGTTACATGGTTGTTAAATGAACCGACAATGGATTTTCCATTGGCTTTGCTTGTCGGAAGGTCGCAAAAGTTGAATCACATGACCTTGGGACACTGCAACCGTCATAAGAATGAACCAGTTGCCAAGCATCTCAATTTTGATCATGGGACCAATGACGTTGCAAAGGTCGTAAGTGTGAAACATGGTCATAAGACACCTTTTTCAGTGCCTTTGTAATTTTGAACAGTTACTAAATGAACTCTGTAAGTTGAGGACTACCTGTATTGAGGCTTGAAGCTAACAAGCCAACTATTAAGATTCAGGCCTGGACTAGGATTCTAATCTCAGGATTTAGAATCAGGTTTGACCCTTCAGGACTGATGTCTCTGCTGTGGTCGGACAGCTGCCAATCTCACTGGCACCACATCTGTATAGCAGAACTTTCCACTCTTGGTCCCTCTCCTGAATTTCTAGGTCAATTAACTCTGGAGAAAGCCAAATCAATGGGAAAAGAGAGAACCAGGGACTTTATGAGCTGTGGTGGCACAGTGGTCAGAATGCGGTACTGCAGGCTACTTCTGCTGACTGCCGGCTGACTGCAATTTGGCAGTTCAAATCTCATCAGGCTCCAGGTTGACTCAGCCTTCCATCCTTCCGAGGTGGGTAAAATGAGGACCCAGATTATCGGGGGCAAGAGGCTGACTCTGTAAACCGCTTGGAGAGGGCTGTGAAACACTGTGAAGTGGTATGTAAGTCAAGGTGCTATTGCTATTGTTTATACATTTTATTATGTTATTGGATTCGTTTGGAGGCAGAATGTTTTGCTTTGTTATTAATGTTATTCAACTGAATTTCTTCCTGGATTTTGGCTATCCAAATCCAAATTGTGCTTTGAACAATCCAGCATTTAGTTTAGTTTAGCTTAATTTAGCTTAATGTAGTTTCATTGTTTAATTCAGAACTCCTGATCCAGCCATAATATAATCTGTGCAATGTTACATTTGGCTTACAAATGAGAGGAATGTATTAAAGCATGAGTACACAATATTTTAGAAGAATTGCAATGGGATTGCACTTTTCACCAATGCTGTATTTTAATGAAAGCATGCTTGAGCTTCAGTGCTTTTAATACCTACACCCACAAGACCAAAATTAATAAATAAAACAACCCTGAAATAATCTAAATAATACAATTCTCACCTTCACCTTGCCCCAAGTGAAGGCAGACCCCAGAGATAGTGGGTTATAGTTCAGAAGTGACCTATGAATAATAAAAAGTGGGATAGCCACTTATATTCCCCCGCTTTTTTCACACATTAAATAAAGTAGGAAATTTGTTAGCAAGCGCATGTGTGAAAAGTATTTAAGAAGTTGCATCTTTTGCCTAGGCAGCTGTCAGAACCAAGAACAGTCTGTGAGAACTCATTCCATTCTAAATTAATCCTAAATACTTCGAAAATAAAAGTGTTGAAAGAAAACAACATTTGAGATTCTTTTTATAATTTAACGGCTAAAACCTTTGTTTGGTGCAGTATAACTTGGTTAGTTACTGGTACGAGGCAATATCTTGATGGCCTGTGTGACAGGTGCAGTTTTTGTCTAAATCACATTATTGGGCCTTAGTTTCCGGAGCTCCATCTGCAAAAGAGGTTTCTAGAAGTTGTTGGCTGGTGCTGCTGTCTGGTTCTCCTCTATTGGCTGATTTCGAGTTGTGTTTGGAGAATGGACAATTGTGAGCATTACTTCTCATCTTGGAAAACCTATGTGCCATATCTTGTGCTTCATGCTGCTTCAGCATAGCTGCACAACTTTTAGGGGGGAACAAGAAACTTTTTCCCAATGTCAATCTTACCCAACCGTCATTGTTGTTGTTACTGTTAGTCTTGCAATATTATTATTATTATTGTGGTTGGTTGCACAGGCAGCCAGACGTTTAGACTGAATTTCATATTTTTCTCCACCCACTGAGTCAACTTTGGAGGTCTTCTAGTTCACCCTCCTGCTCAAGGAGGAGATTCCATATCATTTCAGACAGGTGGATATCCAGTCTCTTCTTCAAAAACCTCCACTGATGGAACACCCACAATTTCTAAAGGGAAGCTGTTCCACTGGTTAATTATCCTCACTGTTAGGAAGTTTCTCCTTAATTCCAGGTTGCATCTCTCCTTGATTAGTTTCTATCCGTTGCTTCTTGTCTTGCTTTCTGGTGCTTTGGAAAATAGGTTGACCCCCCTCTTCCTTGTGGCTGCCCC